TTTGTCTTCAGTGGTCCTTGGTGCCCAAACTTGTTTCTTGTGCAAGTCCCCCCAGCCAGTGCCCCAGGACCTAGGTGTGCTGTAAATGTGCTATGTAGCTTGCCACAAGTAGAGAGCTACTAATTCTGTGGAATTCATTATCTATAAACATTTCTTTATTTAGTATGCATGTCCACTGATATAAGATGCTTGCTCCAGAAATAATTTAAAGTGTTTAATATAAATGGAAAAAATACAAGTAGAATGTAATGATGAAAAAATAGGACAAAAATAATAATAAAAAAGGGTAATAAAGATAGCCAGCAAGCTGGGGCCAGCGAGATAGCTCAGTGGCCTACCAGCTCCAGTCCTCTGCTCTATCAACTGAGCTATCGAAGGACCTGCTAGCTCAGTGCCTAAAGCACCTGCTGAGGCAAGCTGAGGCAGGGGACCGTGATTCAATCCCCAGCACCGCATGCTGTGCCAGCCGCTCCCGGCTGCCAGGGCAGGCCAAGCCAGCCAAAGAGAAAAAAAAAAAAGAAAGATAAACTGAGACCAGCAGTAACGTGTGTTCACCAAGCAGGTGCAGAGAGGTCGTGATCGCAGGCTGGCGATGACTGAACTTCTCCCCGAGCTTCCAGAAGACCAGAGAAGGAGAGTGAGTGAGCAGCATCCTGAGTGGCACAAATCAGAACAGAACAGAGCCCTGCCCCTCTGAGAACACTGCATGGATCAGAAGGCCTTAGCTTGGGTCTGTGCTGGTGCACGTTCTGGTACTGTGATGACAGAGGTCAGATCATCAGCTCAGGGAGGATTCGTTCTGGCTCACGGTTTCGGGGGTCAGTCCATGGTTGGCAATGCTGTCAGGCTGTGGTGGGCAAGGTGTCACAGAGGGCGATGCTCACCTCACGGTGTCCAGAAATTAGGGGGACAAGAAGGGGCTGGCTTGCCCACATCCCCTTCTTGGTGCCCCCAAGACCTGACTTCCACAAGCTGCACCTCCTGGAGACCCACAGCAGCCTGCACTACATGGGCCTTGGGGAATTTTCAAGACCAAAACCATGTAGGATCCTCTTGGGGAGGACCTTGGGTGCAGCAGCTGCCTAGAAGCTGCTCCAGGATACCTGCTTCAGGGCTGCTTCCCTGCCAGACCCTCATTGGCAGCCAGCACAGCACCCCTCGCAGTTCAGTCAGGCGAGACTACAGCAGCTCCCACTGCCTCAGCTGCTCCAGGATTAAGTTTGGGGGCAGTCTAGCAGTGGGTGTGCCCTGCCGAGCACTGGAGTTAGCAATAAGCTGAGTTGGGTCGGAGTGTAAATGGTGGGCCACCCATATGGATGCCACCCTGTAGCAGAGCGAGGGGATGTCCCTGCACAGGGCCAGGAAAACAACTCAGCCTTACTCTTGAATTTCCTCCAGGACACAGACCACAGGGGTCCTCCCCTCCACTGCTGATTCAGGTCTGTGTAGGCCTGGGCCCTTCTGCTTCAGTGGCAGCGAGAAGACCGTGACCACACAGCAAGCAGCAGAGTTGCTCTGAGCGAGGCAGGGCCCACCTCTCCTGGGCTCATCCCACTATTTCCAGGCCACCAAATCACATCACGCCCTGGACCCAGATGAGGGCAGGTGCAGCAGGTGGGAACCTCGGCACTGCTGTCCTCTGTGCATCTTCCTAGATAAGATGGCCCAGAGTGCATCTGGAAAACCAGCACTTGCCATGTGCTGGTGCTCGGTGAGTGTGCGCAGCCCCTGGCCTGTGAGGACATGTGCCGGACCAGGCCCACTCCCAGCAGCAACAAGGACACAACAGAATCTCACACCTGGTATGAAGGGGCCTTAGAGGCTCTCTGTGGGAGTCTCAACAAGGAGTTGGTTGCACTTTAAGAATCAGCCAATCAATGACTTAGGGAAGCTGTAGTTAAACTCTTGGTGTTTTCCCCTGGACAGAGGCTAAGTGTCAGGGTAAACTGTTGACCAAAGCCTTTTCTTACATGTCCACTGACAGAAGATGCTGCACCCTCCATTCTTACAGCGGGGCCAACCAAGCTCTCTGAACCACAGGAGGAGGATGAGGGCCTGGTGGGTGGCCGCAGACTGTCAGGAAACCTCTCTGCAGTTCTGAGCTATGTTGGTAGGGGGTCTGCATGTGGGGATCATTGCCCCAAGATCCAAGGCCCAAGGAGCTTGGTCCATACCCACTCGGAACCCTGAGTTGAAAAAGAGACAGACAGAACCTACTTGGATCTTGCTCCTCCCAGAGGGAGGTTGGATGTAGAGCAAGGCACTTACCTCTAAATAAGGAATGCTCACCATGCGGCTGTAGGAAGATGTCCATGTTGTAGATCTGCTTGTTCCTCATGTAAACATCAACCTCAAAATCCCATGCTGGCGATTTACCAAGCACTTGGTGGGGTCCAGTCGTAATTGTGCCTGGGCTGCAGGGAGGGCTTGTTTGCCTTTAAAGCCAATTATGATACAAAGGACTCAGCAAGCAGCGGGGCTCCATGCCACAGCAACTGATCTGTAATAAGAAAGGCTGCCACAAGAGTAAGAGCTAGCAGATGCTAGTCTGTGCCTTCCCACCTCCATGGGCCAGCCGGGGCAGCTGGCACACTCCTGCGCCTTGCATTTCCAAAGACAGCCTTGGTGCTCCACGCCGCCTCCTGCAGTGGGGAACGCAGGTTTGCTCCTCTCCAACCCCAGGTGGGGTCGCCATCTCCTCCAGGCTGAGCTGACCAGGTTTTGCTGTGTGTTCTTGTGCCTGTCAGCTATTAGAATGGTCATAAATTTAGCAGCACACAGCCAGGGAGCAAACAGCTCCACATTAACATGTGGAGAGCACAGCAACCTCTACCTCCAGGTGCAGAAAAAGAAGCCCCCTGCCCCCAGGTCCTCAGAGATGGGCAGGCCAGCCAGCTGTGGTGTCTAGATGTCAGACTCAGGGATTTCCAAATCTTATGCTTGGTGCATGGGCTCCTGGGTAGCACCAGTGTCGTCCAGCCTGTGAGCCAGGGCTCTGCTCGGAAGTCCATTCGAATAAAGTGTAAGAACCAGTGCAGAATGCTTGATACTTAGCTCGGATTCAGGATGCTTTATCAGCAGGAGTGGGAGGGCCACCAGGTGCTAGGATAGAGTCCACACAGGTTGGCCTGTGACCACCAAAAGGGACCTCTTGGTGGGCTCTTTTTTCAAAGGCAGAGAAAGCTCAGAATCATCCACCTCCCAAGACACAGGCGGTGCCTGGGAGTGCAGCCTTGAAGACACTGACATTGACCCCTCTACACTCAGAGAATTCTCAGGAGGGAGGGAATGAGGCTGAGGGGAGCAGCTGTAAATTAGTCAGCAGGCTGTCCGGGTACACATCACCCCAGTAACTGTCTGTCTCCTCGGGAAATCTGAGTACCCCACCTCGGGAGACTCGCAGAGAGCTGTTCTCAAGGTTCGAGGTTCTCGTGGAACACCGCCAGGGGGATGGGCGCTCCGCCCTTGCCTCTGAACCTTCTCCTGCCTGCTGCTCACGCTGCCCCCCCTTCAAGCACCGTGGCCGGCACCGTGGCCAGGCTGCAGATCCGCAGAGCAGCTTTGTGCACCTGAGCTCGCAGCCCCTGCTGGTGTCCTCAAGCAGGACACACATGCCCGTGCGGCTGCCCCGAGCGGCACCTTCCCTCCAGCTCTCCGGCCCCAGGAGGGCTCCCGCTCCAGCAGGGCACAGGTCACTGCTTCCTGTGGGCCTTTGCATTAACCTGCTTTTTAAACTTTCTTTCTTTTTTTTCCCATAATTTTATTGAGAAACAAATAGCAATGAGACAGGTTCAAATCAAACTGGTAGGACAGTTCCAACAATTAACACATTGCATACTCTTTTCCTAGTGGTTATTTGCTGTACAAGATGCAGACATGATATCCTATTTACAAACACTGTTAGAACAAATTGCTCTATTCATTAAGAGAATGTAACTATGTATCTATCCTAACCACTTTGAATATGCAGATACAAAATGGACATTCATCTGTATCGCCTTTTTTGTTTAGTTCTATCATTTGAATATTATAGGTGTGTAAACTCAGCAAAATATTCTAAAAGAGTCCAGTAGTCCATAACAGTATTGGGTCTTCCTCTTGACTGGGAGTGTCAGAGATTGCTGACCTGAGTCCCCCACAGCTCAACATAACAGCATGGGTTTTTAAACTTTCTACTTCACATGTTTTCTTCTAATCACCCTGTTCAGGCCGCTGCCTTCAGGGCTCATCTGATTACACGTGGTACTGGGTAGACCTCAGCGCAAGCATCTCACAGTGCCAGCAGCCTGCTGCCACCCTCCCAGCACACGGAGACTGGCTCGCTGTGTGCCAAGATCCCTCCCATCGGCCATGACAGGGCCACGGGTGGCACAGCTGCAGGTGGACAGGGCCAAAGCGGGAAGGGGTCCTCCTCCTGCTTTCCTCTGTCCGTACCATCTGGGATATCTGCACATCAACACAAGGGTCTGAGAAGGTCCGCCCAGCAGGAAGCAGGCCTCCCAGACCCACTCACAATCTGCGCCCTTGTAGCAAATCCTAGAGTGCCAGTCTCCTCCCAGATGCAGCCTGAGTTGTCTAGTAATTGGCAGTGTCTCTGTCAGTTTTCTTTCCTTTGTCATGATGAAAAATCCTGAGTTCTCAACTGTGCACAGTGAAAGCTAGAGCCTGGAGGACGGATCCCAGCCGGGTCCTCCCTCTATAAGCCCTGCTCAACCCACTGTCCTCTCCCCTCAGGGACTGCCTTCCTGCCCCCCTCACAGAGCTGGGAGCCCGTGAGAGGCCCGTGGGTGAGATGTTCACAGGAGCCCAGAATGTCTCTGGGTACGAAAACCCTCCACAAAGCGCTAACCACAGGCACCTAGGACAGCAGACTGGAGAATCCCTAAGTACACTTGCGTGGGGAAAGAGCGCTGTGGCCTCCAGCCACCTGTCCTCACCTCCCTGGCATCCTGGGCCGCCCTGCCACGCCAGCAGAGGTCTTCATTTCGGCTTTCCCTCAGGTGCCCAGTGACGTATCGGAGACGGACCTCAGCAGTGAGGCTGCAGACTCCCGGACCCTCATGGACACAGGAGAGGAGAAGCGGAGGAGCCGACTGCACGAGTTAGCCATGAAGATGAGCGAGAAGGACACATCTTCCGGGGAGGACCCCGAGTCAGAGCCCAAGACCAAGCCTGGGAGCCAGAGGGAGGGCGCGTCCTCAGCGGAGAACACCCGAAGTGTCCAGGATGAGCTGAGGAAGGTAGGGCGTGGGCGGGGCTCCGTGTGCGCAGGAGTGCGGCGGCTCCCACACGCCCAGCCGTGAGCACTGGGCAAGCAGGGGACCGCCTCCCTCCCGATGGTCCCGGCCCCCATCTCCTGCCCTCCACAGACTGCCCTGGTCTTGGGGTCCCTGTTATGCACCGCTCCCTCTCCTTCATTCCCCACCTCCTCCCTGTAGATGCTGCCCGTGGTCGCGACCAGGTAGTCGTGTGACACGGAGCCTAGCTGTTGAGCCTTACTGTTTTCAGATTCCAGTCGGTTTGGTTTGGCTTCAGTCCTTTTTCAAACAGTGTAGGAATGCTGGGGCCTCACACAGAAGGATGCTTCTGTTAGTGGGGTTCCCAGAGCCTGCACATTTGATGTCCAGTCTACACACACACACACACACACACACACACACACACACACACCGTTGGCCCCCACAGGCCTGAGTTCTCAGCACAGAGGGTAGCGCTGAGCTGAGGCTGGGCCCCAGCTCTGAGAACACACTTGTGTGGCACTCCCTGGCCCAGGGACCAGGCAGCTGGGGGCATGGAGCGCTCACCTGAACATGGCTCATGAAATACCTGGGGCCAATGTGGTCAGTCCTGCAGATGGGGAGACGGTGCACTTCAGGGCCTCCACAGTGCTCCCGGGGGCCCCGGGTCCCGGTCCCTCAAATCACTGCTCCCTCCTTGGCAAGTGCAGCGGGTCCCACTTGTCTTTAGGGAGCTGCCGCCTCCAGAGGACGCTCCCAGTCTTTCCCTGCCATGGGCGAGTGCTGCATGGTGAACACTGCATGCCCTGGTGTGACATGGTGACACATCTGCTGTGTGACAATATCTGTCCCATTCCTGTCACATTCGTATGCTGATCTGAGTGCAGGAGCCGCCTGCACTCTGCACAGCAGTCTGGCAGTGGCTGTGTCCTCGCCTGTGCCACCACTAGCCCCAAGCTCCACTCCCATGAGCAACCTGGCATGCCAAGCCCAGCCCCTCAGTCCCCGTCTGCAGGCAGAGCGAGCAGGGAAGGAGGCCGTCGCCGGCAAGAAGCTGAGTGCTTTGGCCTTACTTGTGTCTGCAACAGGCCCCCAAGTTTGCCCTGTAGCCAGAAATATGCCTGGAAAATACAAAACTATAGAGGCAAGAAAAATAGCAGTATTAGCAAGGGGGTATGGTGAGTGCAAGGTGGACAGGAGAGACTAGGGGACTGTTCTTAGTGTTGTGAAATATCGGACAGCCAAACGTGGTAACTGCGCAACTGTATGCATTTGTCAAAGCTCACAGATTTGCATGCCCCTAGGGGTGTGACCGTATGTAACACACATGCACACACTCGCAGAGGTAGCCTGGTGGCCTTGAGTACCCTAACTAGAAATGTGTAAGGCTTGTGAATGCAACTAATTACCTCTGCTCAGGGCCATAAAAATGACTGAGTTGCTGGAGAAATGCTCTGTGTGGGAGCTCTAGACACACAGGCACCGTCTACCCCCAAATAAATGCAGATATTTAACAGAATGAGCTCAGGTTTGAAACTTGGTGAAGCTTTTCAAAAGTTCTCTGAAGTGTGGTTGCATGAGATACCCCAGGAAGCTTCCAGCTCAGTCTTAGCAGCCACGGTAGCAAACAGGTGGAAGAAACCCATCCAGAAATAGAGGACCCAAGGCAAGCAGATGGGGTGCCATGCAGGCACCAGGGGCAGCAGGAGCACTGACAAGCTGCACAAGTGCTGCACAAGATGCACTGGGCGCCTCACTGACCTTGGGAGGAAGGAGCCAGAACCCCGTGTCACACCACACCAAGCCGATTCCACGCAGGCAGTCACAGCACCCAGTAAAAGCCACTGTGCTCCAAGAGCAAAAGCTAAGATCCAGGAGTTGGCAAAGCCCATGAAACCAGCAAGAAAGTGCAGTGGGGACAGCAAGATAGCTCAGCTGAGTAAGTGCCTGCTTAGTCAAGTGCAGGGACAGGGTTCAATCCCCAGCAGCACAGGCCGTGCCAGCTCTGCACCCGGGTGCTCTGAGCTGGCCACCAAGACCAGGCATGGTGGCGCACACCTGTAATCCCAGCACTGGGGAGGCTGAAAACAGGAGGATCACTATGAGTCCTAGCTGTGTAGTGAGACCCTGGACCAAATACATTTAAGAAACAGAAAGAGGAAGGTGGACAGGAAGAGACTAGGGGAATGTTCTTAGTGTTGTGAAATATCCGACCGCCAAACATGGTAACTGCACAACTGTATGCATTTGTCAAAGTTCACAGATTTGCATGCCCCTAGGGGTGAGTGTTACCATATATAGCACACATACTTCCTTGGGAGGAAGGAAGGAAGGAAGGAAGGAAGGAAGGAAGGAAGGAAGGAAGGAAGGAAGGAAGGAAGGAAGGAAGGCAGGCAGGCAGGCAGGCAGAAAGACAGACAGACAGACAGCACACACACAAGTGGTGGAGATGTGGGGTCCAGACATAGAATATGCTGGTCCAGGAGTACCCAGCACCGCAGACAAGGACAGTGCATACAAGGATGGGCACACACGGCACACACACATACACATCACAGAGGGCACTCACCACACACTGCAGGCACGCACACATGGCACACACATGACACACACATGTGCCACATGCAGCACACACATCGCACATATACATTACACATGCCACACACGTACACAGTGGACACAAGACACACATATCCACACATTACACCAGGCACACACAGCATGCATACATACACATTCCATGCACTGCACATGTTGCACACATACCACACACTGCACACACAGTACACACATCACACACACTACATATCACACCTATCATGCAGCACACATGCATGCATGGCACACATGCCACACCACACACACTGCATATGTAGCACATAGGGTTCACACATACATGCAATCACACATGCCACACTGCACACACCATGCACACACACTATACACAGCATATATACAACATACTACACACAGTGGATGCAAGTGGCCAATGAGCTTGTGAACACACGCTATCTCCAGCTGGACTGTGCTGTGCCCAGTGTTGTACTGGTCCAGAGGCTTCCCTCTCATTCGGCGGCTGTTTCTCACCCACCCTGTGCCCAGCACTGCTGTGCCTTGGAAAAGCCCCGAACCCTGCCAACCTCGTCATCTGCTGGCCAGTGGTGGCACCATGACAGCAGGCCACACCGCCCTCACCTGATGACTGAAGATCGGGGACAATGATCTGGAGGGCACGGAAACAGCCATCTGAGTTGCACGGTGGGCGTGGCGGCTCATGGCTCTCTGGGAACCCAGAGCCCTGGTGGGGCCAGGGCGTGGCCTGTGGTCCGGGTCTGTGCTTCCTCGGCTTCTCTTGGGAGGCAGGAGCTGCGGGGTGCACCCAGCACAGCCCCAGGGTCTGGGTTTCTCCCATGGAAAGCACTGGGCACCCCAAGTATGGGGGTCCTCAGGCCTAGGGAAGCAAGCAGAAATGCTCACGTGTGTGGGAGAACGGTGGGCAGACAGGAAGTTGGAAGTGGAAACCTGTGTGTGTGTGTCCCCTCTGTCAACTAAGAGGCAAGTCTGTCTTGTGAACGTGAGGGATAGCAGCACTGGAGCTCCAGTGCTGTACACAGGCTAGGAAGGGCTGCTGCTCAGAGCGCCCTGGCCCTGCATCTCTGGGAGGCTGAGGCAAGAGGACAAGCTGGAGCCCAGCCTGGACAGCTGAGAGCCTGAATCTCAGAGATCTGATAGGCCTGGGACTCCAGCGCAGTGGGAGGCTTCTGGGCCTGCCTTAGTATTGCAAACAACAGAAAGAAGAGAAGTAGGAAGAGCCCCGGGGCGCACTGAGACAGTGGTCAGCACCACCCTGTGACTGGAGAGCAAGCAGAGGGAGCAACTTTGAGTGTGAGGAAGTACGAAATAAAACTCCTCCCAATCCCAGGGAGCTGCCTCTTCCTAGCAGGCCCATTCGGGGCCGCAGCCCTGCACACAACTACACTGCTGACCCAAGGAGCCTGGGATTCATGCGTCCCAGAAAGCACTTTCCAGAGGCTTCTAGTTCAGCCATTACTTGCCTGTGAGCTCAGATTTGCATTTGAATCTGAAGCAGATTGGTAAGCTGAAGAGAGAAAATGGAAACTAATTCTATCCATAATAAGAGCAAAAATGTGAAATTAAGACTTGATAAGAAAACTGCAGATCTCCACGAAGCATCGCAGCTCGCTGGAGGGAAACTGTAGGGGGATGACATTTCCCCAGCTAGGTTAGGAGCTCAGTGTAATTCAGACCAGAGCGCCAAGCAGGGTCCTTGGACTTTTCAAAATACTCTCAAAATCAAAATGACCGGGTAGAAGAAACAGTCAAAAGTAGTGTAGAGCTTTGACAGAAAAGAAAAATGAAGAGGACACGTGTGTTAAGATGCCAGCTTGGTGTTTGAAGACCCAGGGAGTGAGCAGGTGAGGTCCTGAGACAGGCTGTGGGAGCCGCAGCTCCTACTCACTGCCCCTTCAGTTAGGAAGCCGTGACTCTAGCGGCAGTGTTAGGCAATTGTCTGCCAGCCCTTTGGGGGCAGAGGGATCGGGTGAGAGGGGTTCTGCATCTCCACGAAGGGCTGAGCAGCCCCTGCTGGCTCGCCAGCCCCAAGGCAGGGATGGAGATGACATGGGGGAGGCAGCACCTTCCCTGCCCCTGGCTGGGCATTCACTGCTCACCATCTGCTCCGCAAGTCTCTGTCATGATATCCCAGAAACAACCATGCAGTGTGGACAGGGGAAGATGCCAGGGGACACTGAGGGCTCACAGCAGACGGAAAGCGGTGGAGCGGGTGGGGACTCAGGAGAGAGAACCTGGCCAGGTGTCCTGGGACCTGAGCCCCTGGGAAGCCAGAACACATGCCTGGTCCCCTAGGAGGAAATGACTTTGACGACCCCAGGACCCCAGGTGGCCAAGGACAGAAGGGGGGCAAGGAGCACAGGGCTGAGCAGGGACCTTGGAGGACTCCAGCACTTGTTCCCAAGAAACAA